ATGGTGGTGTCCCTCGCAGGGAGCTTCACTTCGGGCTGCAGCACTAGCCCCTGCCCGAGAGCCCAGCCAGGGGCCACGTGGCCAGTACCTATAACTCCCAGGCCACACAACAGGTCCTTCACAAGGAACATCACGGGGACGTGCGTCCCGCTGTGCCTCACACAAGTGGGCCGGGGCCCTCATGCTCTGCCGGCCAGAGGCAGGGGATCCTAAGGCCCATGAGAGGGCAGGCCCCGGGGTGGAAGGGCCTGGGCCCCAGCAGCATGTGGAACAAAGCACAGCCGTCCAGGAGACGCCACGCGGGTGGTGACCAGGCAGGAAGAAACATGCAGCTGCGGGCCTACTTGTTACAGCAGCGGACGTGTGCTGCCTGATATGCACCAGGACAACCGCTGGTGGAGGAAGGCACGTGCCAACCCAGAGAGCAAGTGCGTCCTGTCTGAGGAGCCGGTGCTCAGGGGCCCGGGAGGAACCCAGGCACAGCACTAGCTAACAGCACCCTTGATGGCACAGCGCCAGGGTCACATGCTGCTTCTGGCTGCCAACCCACGGGTTGCCGTGTGCAGAGACGGTGTTTCACACAGGGTACTGCTCTCTCTCAGGCATGGAAAAGATGGAATCTACGGCCAGGCTCTTCCCGGGCCCCCGAACAGGTCATCTTGGGCCTTTAGGTTTCAGACAAGGGAATCCCCCAGGGCTGTCGGACCACCGTGCCGGGGGACAAACTCGGGCAGCTGACCCAGGAAGGACCCGGCCTCTCTCCACCCACCCACGGTAGCAGGTGAGGGAGGCTGCCCAGACCCACACAGGGCTGAACACAGCGTCAGCAGTGACGAAAGAGTCACCACGCAGCACGGTGTCCCCTGCCCGCGTCCTCCACTGCCGAGACGGGCTGCAATGCCACACTGTAAGAAGGGACGGTGCGCAGGGAGCCCTGAGACCCACCAGGTGGCACAAACACCTGCTTCCCAGGAAATCGGAGCCGCCGGGCGGGCGGGCCCTCACCTCCCGCTGTCCTCGGAGCAGACCCTGTGGAATTGGACCCACTCGCCACGCAGGGCCTCGCTCACTTTACAGATGGTGCCCAGCTGCTGACCACTGTCACTAGGCGGGAAGAATGCAGCTGTCCTGCCTCGGGCAGAGGCCCTGCCCGGTCACGTCCTCACGGGCTCCTGGTGCCCACTCACTCACCCCGGTTCAGGGTTCCTGGGCACCTGGCGGCTCGATTTCCACGTACAAAGCCCCGCGGCGGTCTGCACGGAGGGCAGTGCTCCCTAGGGCCTGCACGGCCAGCCTTGTGGAAGGACGCAGCCAGGTGGGCACGTGGAAGGGGACCCTGTACCACCTTTGGGCTATCTGTAGAGTCTGCCAACTTCCAATGTCAAAAAAAGCCACCCAAAGCACTGACCAGGAAAGAGAAGAGTTGGAAAAACTGGACTTTAGAACTCCAAATTTCCATTCATTAAAGGACACATTAAGAAACCAAAAGGTGAACCTCGGACGGGAAGGTACCAGCAGCTTGTCTCTGACAAAGGACTGAGACGCAGAAGATGAACAAGAGGACTACAGACCAGGACGAGACAGAGAACACTCCAGCCACAGGTGGACAGGCACTCCCCAGACGGCCCAGACGAGGTCACACTGTGGCAAACCAGCTGCACACAACGCTCAGCGACAATGGTCATCAGAAAATGCATGTGACACCCACAGTAAGATGCTACTTCCCACCATCAGAATGGCTGACATCGGAGACTGATGTGCCCATGGTGGGTGACAGGTGAAGCACCGGAGCTCCTGCAGCCCGAGCATGCACCAGGCGGCATAGTGGCTTGGAGGACCGTGTGGCAGTGTCCTGTGAGGTTGAGCATGCTCTGCCCCAGCCACTGTGCACCTAGAGAGGTGGATCCCCTTGTCCACAGGAAGATGTGCACAAAGTCATTCTCAGCTTTGCTTGACGTGAGCTAAATGTCAGTGTCCATTACCAGGAGGGCGAACGCACACGCTGCGGGACTTGGCAGTGAACGAGCAGACTACTGGGGCCTGCGACCAGGGGCCCGAGAACCCGGCACTGGGCTGAGTGGAAGAAGTCAGGCCACATGTACAGCTGTGGGGTGCCATCTGGTGACCTCCAGCGGGGTCCAGGGAGCTGCCCAGGAGGGCGTGGAACATGGCTGGCCACACCTGGGTGGGGACACCGCACCCCCTGGCAGCTGGAGGCACACAGAGCCTCTGCACAGTGTGCTCCTACCTGTATGCAGTCACACTAAGTCACCAAAAGACGGTGACAGTCCACAGGCTCAGCAGCCGGGGCCAGCAGCACCCGAGCCGCCGGCAGGCCTCCCGCCCGCCTCGCGTCCAGCTCAGACTCCAGCTCCTGTGGGCGCTGCGCTGCTGCCCTCACCCACCCAGGGCCAGGCCTGCTGTGGGACGGAGGCCTCCACCCTGGACGGCCGCCCGTCCGGGTGCTGCCATGTCACCCGACCGCCCCACCCCAGGCTGCTGGGGTCCTACCGGGCACCGGCACCTCAGGGCACCAGGGCACCGAGGTTGCCGGAGGAATCGCAGCTGCTGATCGGGTCGCCCGGACCCGGACTGTCTGGGTGGCCCCCTGATGTCCCGTCCTCCCAGGCAAAGACCAGGAGGGTCCAGGAGGTGCCACGAGACACAAACCCCGACCCTCAGTCGCTGGCCTCGGGGGCGAGCACGGGCTGCCCAGGAACGCCACGCTGGGCAGACCGGCCGCCGAGGACTGCCCCTGCTCGGTGCAGGGAGCTCGCTGGCAGTGGCCGGGGAGGCGGCAGCGAGGGAGGACTCCGTGCCAGGCAGGGAGTGGGGCCTGGCCCCTAAGTACAGCGAGGACGTGTGCCCACCTGTCTGGCTCTCCAGCCCCGGCAAGGTGCCCAGGCACATGGGACATGGGTGGTGGGAACACGCAAGGCACCTCCACCACCGCCCGCCGCCAGTCGGGATCCGATGATCTGCCTCCCCAAGTGGCCAGCTGGGACAGCGTGAGGGGTCCTGGAGCCGGCCTCTGCCAGGCAGAGAATGCTGCTCCCTGAAGGACAAGTCCTGCCCTGGTGTGCCAGCCTGTGTGCTGCCCTGTCCCCACCCCACAGTACACACTGACCAAGCAGCCAACCCCGGGCCCCGGCCGGGATGAGCACCAGCCCCAGGCTCCACCCCACCAGGCCAGGAACAGCCACAGGCTCCCACCTGGGGACACGGCCACCTGGAGAGTCCAGGTCCAGGTGGTGGGAAGGCCCAGCAGCGACTGGGGAGACGGCAGTCCCTTGCCCTTTCCTGCCCACTCGCCAGAGGCCAGTAATCTCCAGAGGGTGGTGAGAGTGGGAGGCCCAGGACCCCTCTGCGTGGCCCTCCAGGGCTGCCCGCCACGGGTGGCACAGCCAGCGACACCCAGCGGCACACCAGTGTCTTTCCAGGAAAAGCACAGAAGGGTGGCCCAGGGTGGCCGAGGTCCTCGAGGACAGACAGGCTGTGAGCCCGCTGGGGGTGGGACAGAGCAGGGGTAAGAGGTGGGGCAGGGGAGGACCAGGGGAGGACCGCACTGGCCAGGAGGTGCAGCTGGCTCTGGGGCTCAGCGTGTCCATCAATGTGTCCAGCAAAACCTGCGGCTGCTGCCTGCTGGCCACCAACCCCTGGCCACCCTCCCACAGAGCATGCTCCTGCTCTCTTCTAAGGTCTGGTTGGCCGTGTCTCGCCCTGACCCCCACAGCCTGGTCTTGGGTGTGCACTGAGCAGCCTCCTCGGGGCTCAGCACAGAGAGAAGCCTGCAGCCCCGTGGGCCAGAGCGGGCCCGGCACAGGGGGAAGTGTCCACTGGGCCCTGCGAGGGGTGGCGGAAGGGCCTTGGCAGCCAGGGCAGGACGGTGAGCTGGGAGGTCGGGGCAGGGCAGGCACAGGGAGCGTGGAGAGGCCAACTTCCTGCTGGACGAAATGCCCTGTGTGCTGCCCTGTCCCCACCCACAATAAACACCGACCAAGCAGCCAGCCCCGGGCCCCGGGACACAACCAGGGACCCCGTCAGACAGACACGCTGCACTCGTGCCCCTAGGCAGGGACCCAATAGAAAACTAAGACAGACGCGTGGACAGAGGGGACACCACTCAATAACAGGGAGGAGACCAGGGACGGGGAGGAGAAGGAGAGGAGGACGTTCAGAGACCACAGAAAGGACAGGCCAGCCCACCAGACCCCCAGCTCCGGCCCTTCCTCTGAAGTCTGCCTCTG